AAAAAAACCTGATCCCACAATGAAGAGGATAAATTATTAACAGAAGACAAATTGAGAAATATATGTAAAAGGCATCAGTGTGTGCATATACATAGATCATGGTGCAAAACATGTACCTTGAAACAGGAGGGCAGTAGTGATGTCGCAGAGTATCAAACTCCCAGAGAGAGCTTCCTGCCAAATATTGCCATTGATATATAATTATACTTATAACCAAAAAGTTAAAAAAATAAATAAATAAATAAATACAGCAGATCTTCTGTGTTAATTGGACGGGCAGTCGAGGGATATGCTATGAAATCAATCCAAAAACAGCTGGTATATTAAATTTAAATTAGTTGGCATGTGTGTTTAAGATGCTATCACTCCCAAACTCCTGCACCACTGAGCACTTTCACATCCATAGCTAACCAATAGATGAAAGAGTGAAGGAAGACTTTTAACCAAAGATAAAAACCAATATCCCAGAAAGGGGCCCAACTGCAGATACTTTTTTTTCAATATATACTTCAACTATACCTAGTACACTAGCAAGTTTTTAACTCCCAGTGTAATGATTATTGCCAAGTTTGACAAACCAGTGGGGGCAAAACCATTGAGTAAGAAGTGGAGAAGCTACTCATCAAATGACAATTAGTCAAGAGGTGGACAGGGAGTATGCAGGAGAAGCTTCAGGCCCAAAGGACTTTTGGATCGTGGAGAAAGACCCAAAGACATTTTCCATTATTAGACAGAGGTTTCAAATGATTTGTCACTTGCTATTTATCTTAGTAATTGACCATCGCAACATGGATTTGGTGAAAAGAGGACTAGCAGCCTCAATTTTTATTGAGAGGAAAATGAACATGTAGAGTCTCTAGAGATGTCTTGTTATCCATTTCATTCTACCCCTTCCTCCCCTTCTATTTTTGTTTAGTTCTTTTTCAATGATTTCTTGCTTTATAATCACCATTAACAGTCTAATTTATGTTAGAAGAATCTGCATAAAAATGAAGAAAAAAGGTATGTGGTTGCACTTGGCACTCATTGCATCCATGTAATAGTAAAATAATCTCAAATGATCTTAGCTAGTAAATATCTACAATTAATACTGGTGTCGAATTTCCTTTGTAGTCTATTACTTGCCTCCTTGCACTTTTCCTGTTTTAACTTCAATCATTCCTGAAAGATGTTTTTCTCATAATACCGCAGTCTGTTGTCCATGTCGCATCTTTGTAGCTCACACATATATAAATCATAAAAGAGAAAATTGGAACTTACTTATGGCATTAGTTTCTTTGGGATTACTTTCCTCATTGTTAAAATGATCAATGCCAGATTTTTTGACAGACAAATCCCCGTTGGCACTGGAGTACTCTTCATCATCAACATTGTGTTTTTCTTCTCCAGAAGCCTCTTCATTAGTTTCACGACTACGTTCCTGCACGGCATTAGTAATATTTTATCAAACACACTAATCAACCCATTGAATGAATAAAAAAGGAAGCGAACATTGAAAACACCCTCTACCATTCTTTCAAGGCACATACTTCTTAAGCATAACTGAGCATGTACTCACTGCATTCAAATTTTAAAGTCACTTGTGAAGGCTGTTACTTGTTATTCCTTTACCCATTTTGTGAATTTCAAGATTCTCATTCTAACAACATTCTAGATAGTGAAGTGGTTATTTTGTTGAAAATGAATACTAGATCAAAGTCATTATCATCTTCAACGTCGAAGCCAGGATAATAAATGGCATATTTATTTCTCACACCCATATCCATTGTCTCGAACAATTACGATAACCATGACATAGAGATTATTCAAAAGTTTACAAATTATATTTCTCGATTAAATGCATTGACTAATGACTATTGATAATAAAATAAATAAATATATAAATATATAAAAATAAATAAATAAAACAAGAGGTTGAAGTCCTTGATACAAGATAAAAGATTTATCTACATGGAATATACATCATAAATCTCATCACTAATCCCTCGTGAAAAAGCATGATCTCGAAACATCTATCAATTAAAATATCTCAAAAACAAAAGCAAGGTTAAGTTGACAAAGAACACTATTTGAACATTAGGGAGGCATTCAAGAGATAAAAGAGTGAATATAAAGACAGGTGCAATGAACTTAGTTTGTAATCAGCCTGTTTGAGCCCCCATTTTTTCTTAAGAATGAATTTGGAATAGTAGATTGATGAAGAATGTGTGATTGAAAAATAAAGAAAAGTTTTAGGTTTGCGTGTAATATTATTTTATTGAAGAATGTGTAGTTGAAAAGAGAGATATATTTTGAAAATAATGGGAATCGAACAAAGGCAATGAATCAAATCCCCCATAATGATATATGATTGTGAATGTTATAGCATGTTATACTCTAAAGTGGTCGTTCCAGCTTGTAGGTGAAATGATATAACACTTATACAGAAATATTACTTTCTATGTGGTTGCTCCAGCAGGAAAAATAATATAACACAAATACTAGTAGATTATTTTCTCCAAGTAAGTGGACAAACAACAAAAGGGATATCACTTCTAGCACCACCTGGCTTACTATAATTTTTTGACCTTCTCGAAGGCCATTCATCTTAACTCCTAATAAAATGGACATTTCAGGACAATTTACATACCAACAGATAATTTAAACAAGATGTATTGATCAAAAACTATTCTGGTAGATTCTTGTGAACACTCTCTCGGTCACATGAAGTTTGTTGATCACCTCATCACGCAGACTTCTGTAATTTGTACCCATTTTATTGATGTGGAATTCCATTCTACACTATCACCCACAAAATATGTCTCGCCAAAGTTCAGCCACAAAAGCTATTAGATGTCAACAAGAACTTTTTGGACTTCCCAAAAAAATCAATCACCCTTGATCGGCAGAAAAAATATCTTTGTCAATCCGAATGTCATCTTAGCGTTTTTACGTTGTATTCCCAATAGGAAACAATAGCAGAAAGGGAATAAAAAGTAGAATAAAATGAGGTTTCTCCTCACAACTTGCATATATTTGATGAAAAGATTTGTCACAATGTGAAAATGAACAAAATCTTCATAAAAATGCATGAATCTCCACTTACATAAAAACAATATAGACTATAATAGCGAAAAGATATATATATATATATATATATATATATATATATATGGAGAGAGAGAGAGATGGTTGTTTACTCACTTGGTGCACCAAACAGTTGATTGAAGGATGTCTCTGCAGAAGGTTGTGAACTAAAGCAACAATGACTAATGCACCGGAAGGAGGAACACAGAGTGCAAGTCTACTCAATTTCTTACAAAAAGCAGCTGCCAAGTATGCTGGAAGAAGTGGTGATTTCAAGCATGAATCCAGAAGCTGTAAATCACATAATGCAGTTAAAGAGGTGATTTCACTAGCCTGAAAGACTTAAAAATTAAGCCTTATTTGCAAAATAGAAAGGACGTTACGCAGGAATGTGGAAAAACAGAAAGTGTATTTGAGCTAGCACAACAAAAGCCATAAAAAAGACATAATAGAAGACTAATGCCTTACATTATATGTTTAAATTTGGCAAAAGGATCCATTTTACTTAATTTGAAGACAGAGTTAACAAAGATGCCAACAACTCAATCATGGACCATAAAACCTTCTCCTCAATTACACAATACTATTATAAAGAAAAATACACCAGCAATATGTAGTCAAATAGACCTCATCTGAATCAATATTTTAAATCGAGGAACATTCAAAAAATGGTTCATGGGCCACAAGTATAGACAAAAGGTGATACTGGAAGGAGATTGCCCCATTTGCAGACATGGCCACGACCACGATAGTGTACAGATCTTGGGCAGAACAATTCTAGGCGTCAACTTAAAGCGAAAAGAAGCATATAATAACAAATAAACAATAAACTGCTGAGCGGGATAGATTCCCTGATGATTTTCTTTTAGCAGGCATAGAATTATGTCCAATCCTTAAGTTTACCTATGACCGGGGTGAATGTGACCGAGCTACCAATATCCATTCAACTTAAGACCAGCAGTTAGTAGTTGCGAAATTTAAGATCCGTACTCATTAATAAGATTCCGTGTGTCATAGAGCAATATTTTTCAACAAAAAATGAAACAAGAATATTCACAATTACCTGAAAGAATTTTGCCCTATGTTTTGCCATAAAAATAGAGGGCTCCAATAGAGCATAAAGCTTATCGTAGAAGTCTGGATATTCAAGACCGTGTTTTGTCATGAGAACATATAGGCTGCTTAGAGCCATAACACTCACAACACCACCAATATTATATGATTGGGTCAAGAAATCACTGCATATCAGAGATTAAGAACACTTAGTATGGTTTTCAAGTGTGAGGGATTGAATAATCAACAAAATATAAGTAAATGACAAATCACTACATATTTTACCACAACATTATTGGCTTAGAGAGGTGAGGAATGACATTCTGATGAAGTGTAACAAGAACCTGATCATCAGATGGCAGGAATGTGAAGAAAGGGAAAAATCAAGACAGAAGTATATTAATTAGAACTGAAACACAACAACAAAGAGCATGCTTGGGTATTCTTGGAAACTAAAATTTAAGCGATTATACGTTGTGGGTCCTTCAGAATCTGTGGATAATAAATGGGTAGTAGTTTAGGGTCCAGAGAAATGTGTTGATAAGAAATATGTTTGACCATCTTAATTCACAATCTGAGCTATGGGAAACATGTAGAAAATCAAGCCTTGTCACAGTAAATTTAGGGTCAGCTTCATATATTATTTTTCACCCCATTTGGAGCTCAAATATAATTTTTTTTTAAGAAAGGCAAGAATTGAAAGTCAGCTTGTTACTTTCAGATCAAGCCATTTGCAAATCATGGTCATATTCACCCAGTATATTGAGAATTCTATTGTGTAGCCTTTCTTGACTATGAAGATTCCATAAAAACAATTTCATCATTTCACAACAATAAAAAGTTAACCCAAGAGTTTACAATTATTATATGTCGAATTATTTATGACAAATAAACGTAAAGGCTGATTCATTCTTGCAAAAGCTATTTTTTCAAGAATAAAGATTTAGAAACAGTAACTAGACCACTACAGAACAAAGACTAAGCCCCTGTTTGATCCCCATTACCTGAAAAGGAAAATGGGGGGAATAGTATTTTTTAGAAAAATGAGTGGTTGAAAAAGAAGGAAAAGTTTTCGATTTACATATAATATTATTTTATAGAAGATTGTGTGGTTGA